AGCTCAGCCCAGCGGGGCAGCTCAGTGGCAGTAGGGAACTGAGTGCGCCAAGCGTCGTCTAGGCGGGAGAAGCAGCGCTGCGTGGTGTGCGCCCTCCCACACATCTGGCCAGTGCGGTCACCAGTGCGGATAACGTACGTGCAGCTAAGGCCACCCCCCCCCCCCCCGTGCTGAGAGTACCACTCACGAAGCTCCTGGGAAGACGGAGTGTGCTGCTGGCTCTGGCCACCGCCAGTGCCTCCACGACCACCACCTCGACCACCACCGCCCCTGCCTCCTCCGCGTCCACCGCCTCCCCAACCACCGCCCCCACCCCGGCCACCTCCTCCGCTGCTGCCGCCTCCACCCCCACCGCTGCCACTAGCCCCTCCAGCCCCGCCACCACCCCCACCGCCGCCACCGCCCCCACCCCCACCTCCCCCGCCGTCACCTCCACCTCCCTTGCCCCCTTTGCCCTTACCGCTGCGGTGCCAGCTCGGAGCGGACGCAGTCCCGACCTGCTCAGTACTAACTAGGTCGACAGCAGTAGCAGAGGCGACAGAGGGGAGAAGGGGGGAAGGGGAACACCCCTCGAAGAAAGGGGTGCGGGGGTCGCCACGAGAGGCAGCTACAGCGACTATGCTAGTCTCTGCTGCAAGCAGTTCCTTCTCGAGCAGGTCTATGGTGAGCTCAGTGGGGGAGCGAGCGAGGAAGTGGTCCCTGACCGCACGAAGAGAGTCAGGGAGACGGGTGACAAGGTGGTAGAGAGTGAGCCAGAGCGGGGGGGGGTGGGTGGCAAGAAACTCAGCGGGCATAGCGGCACGGAAGCGAGCCTCACTAGTGCGGAGGTGCGTGGTGAGGTCAGCGACTGTGGCGAAAGCGGACAGGTCTGGGAACAGGTAGGGAAGCGAGAGACGACCTAGCGCAGCAGAGGCAGGTGAGGAGTAGCGTGCAACTACAGCAGTGTACAGTGCCTGCGCAGTTTTGTGCTGGCCAAAGTGCTCGCGCTCATCTACAGGCAGGGAGTTGCGAATAGCAAAGCGAGCGTGGGCGTCACGAGTCTGCCACTGGGAGCGGGCAGTACTGTCAGCAGTAACAGCAGGGGCAGTAGCGAGGCCTAGTGCGTGATCGTACAGTGAGATGTCCTCCTTGGCAGTGAGCTGGAGGAACAGGTGCAAGTCATCTAGCCAGGTGTCAAACTTCAGGGGGCGGCCCTCAGCATCGAAAGCGAGTACAGCAGGGCTAGCCATAGTAGCAGGAAGAGCAGTAGTAACAGCAGCAGCAGTAGTAGCAGCAGGCAAAACCCTAAAAGCAGTAGGCAGCACGACTCAGGTAGGGCGGCTCGGTCCAGAGGGGGCTGCTCAGTACGGGGAGGGCTGCGCGGCTCGGTTCGGGCGGCGCGGCTCGGCTCGGGCTGGGCGGCTCGGTTCGGGCGGCTCGGTTCGGGCGGCTCGGTTCGGGCGGCTCGGTTCTGGCGGGGCCGTGGCTGTCGCGTGCGGGGCTGCCGGGGCTGCTAGGTGGGGCGCGCGCGGGGTCGACGGGGCCGACGGGGCCTCTAGGTGGGGCGCGTGCGGGGTCGACGGGGCCGAGAGGGGCCACTAAGGGGCGGCGCGTGGGGTCGACGGGGCCGTAAGGGGCCGCTAAGGGGCGGCGCGCGGGGTCGACGGGGCCGTAAGGGGCCGCTAAGGGGCTGCGCGCGGGGTCGACGGGGTCGTGAGGGGCCGCTAAGGGGCGGCACGCGGGGTCGACGGGGCCGTAAGGGGCCGCTAAGGGGCGGCGCGCGGGGTCGACGGGGCCATGAGGGGCCGCTAAGGGGCGGCGCGCGGGGTCGACGGGGCCGTAAGGGGCCGCTAAGGGGCAGCTCGCGGGGCCGACGGGGGCCGCTAAGGGGCGGGTCGCGAGTCGCGGGGCCTTACAGGGCCGCTAAGGAGGGGCGCACGAGGGCGCTGGGGGGGAGGCGCTCGAGGGCGCTCCGACAGTAGGGCGCACGAGGGCGCTAGTAGGCAGTCAGTAGTGGTGGGCCCTAAAAAAAAATCGGTCCTAGCGGAGGACCTGCTCTGAAACCATGTTAAAAAGAAAGAAACAGGAATGATTGAACTATCAGAAAGTTGGGTACAAGTAGTGAAACCCTAAAGTGTTGTACCCCATATTGACTACCCCACTACAGCCTAAACAAGCTATAGCATATAAGTTTGACACGACTCTTCCTACGCCGACGACGTGGAGACTCAGCGCTCGACTCAGGGTTACTGCTTCAGTCTGGGAGCTGGTGTTGTGTCGTGGAGGTCTACATGGTCGTCGTCTGTGGCTACTTCCAGTGCAGAGGCAGAGATCTACGTTGGTGCCATGGCGGCACAGGAGCTTCGCTGGTTGACCTTCTTGCTCGCCGACCTTGGTGAGCGGCCTTGCTCTGCACCGACCTTGTACGCTGACAACAAGGCCATGATCCTCCTGTGTCGAGAGCCTCGACTGGAGAGCAGAGTGAAGCATATTCACGTGAGGTACTTCCTCATGCGAGAGCTGCAGCGACGCGGCCAGGCACGCCTGGACTTTGTGGCCTCAGAGACCAACACTGCAGACGTCTTCACCAAGGCACTGGCGCTTGGTGACCACCACAGGTTCTGTGTGCAGTTGGGGCTTGTTGAGGTAGGTCCTCGGTTGCTGTAGTCTTGTTGCTTGCTCTGCTTGTTGTGCTTTCCTATATATATCCTAGTGAACTCTTGAACTGGCCTTGTGGCCGCTTGCTTGCGCTCGGAATTTGTGTGGTGTCCTTGAGATCCACCCTGAGCTTGCTTTACTTATTACCGACTGGTCTTGTGACCGTTTCTCTGCCTTGCTTGTTTTGATGCCCCTCACTTAGCCTATGGGGGTGTGTCAAATATCATAGTTATAGGCAGTAGTGAGATGCATTCTAGAGGGTACAGATGTTAGGGTTTCCTATTTGTATTCAACACTTTGCTAGTTCATTCATGTCAGAAATAGGAGACACGAAAGAGGGGTTTGGACTAGCAGCAGCAGGATACATATAGGAAACCCTAAATTGGGCTGTACTCGCTATAGAGTACCCCACTGCAGGCTAGACAATTATCACATTCTGACAATTCATTCCGTTGCATTCCTACTTTGAGACTAAGTTGAAAGAACCACAATATTTACCATGTACAAATTGCAAGACAAATACGGGGAGAGCATCGATATGGCCGTAAATGATACAATGGACGCTGGACACTCTCGCCGATTGCATTAGGAGGTGGAAGAGGAAGTAACAGCTAGAGCAGACATTATGAAGCAAAGGTGCATCGATGATGGCTACGAAGGAGTTTGAGACGGCCCCTTTGCAGTGGTCAGCAGAGGGTCATTCCCGGTTACAACGCAAGGATTGCAGAAAACGAAAATAGAGGAAGGAAGCACTATTGTCGAGCAAATTCTGAAGGCAGAAGACCGACGTGGGATTGACTAAAACGAAGTTATTTGAACAAGGATCCCAGAGTGCAAATCGATCACCTATTGTAAACAATAAATCATCCAACATTAGAGTCAACATCTAAATAAAAACATCCAAGTAGGCATGAAAATATTGGAAGTATGATGGACACCATGTTTTGTATGCTTGACACCTGTAGTACGACGTTCGGGGTTGTGCATATGCTTGTACCAGAATAGGAAGGCAGGGGGTCCATTCTGGTTGGAAAATGACGTCAACTTTCCGCTCGGCCACGCGAGAAAGTGCTTTTTTAGAATCTCCAAACCAAACGCGTGCCAACTTGCAGTTTTCCATCTGCCACAGCCACGAATGGAAGTCAAGAGCTGAAGTTTATCCCTTTGACCGTGGATGAGCTTGAATCGTGGCGTAGGAGGATGAGGCTCATCCCAGCCACAAGTTCGGCTCGGGGTTTGGTTTAGTTGGAGGCGAGGAGGAGGATGCGGTTGCGCGCTTCCACACAGTTTGTTGCGTGGTGTGGACCTTTGATCTGTGATCCACAAGGCGCCGAACTCGGCGTTTTATCCACCTCCGATCTCGATTTGAGGCTGCTGCGAGTCCATCGATCAAAGGCACCCCAAAAACTCGGTTTCACAACTGCCCAAGCCAGTTCTGCACCTGAGATCTACAGTCGTAAACTAGTGTTTGAGTTCCAGGCAGTCACGCTTGAGTTTCCCCCCTCAAATACGATTTTCGGTGTTTATCTTCTGCCATTTCATCCTGCCGTTTTTTTGTGAAAGTTTGGGATGACTTGTCTGGACATGTACGGCAAGTGCGTCTGTTTCAAGACAGTTGTGTGTGCGTGACGCTGCGTCGTCAGCTCCATGCGTGCTTATTATTACTACGCCTGCAGTCTCCTTGCCTCATAGGAGAGGAGCTTGTGCTCGTGTCGGGTTGCCAAGAACCGTGCGAGTCCTTGCTGGAAGCCGCATTGATGACGGGTTCTTGTCTACGTGGGTTCGTGTTACTGGAAGCTCCTGGATAAATCGGTAACAGTACAGCAGATGATCAAAGGCTGACGAGCCTCGAGTTTGGCGGTCTGGTTGACGTGGCATTACTCCACTCGATACAGAACCCGCTCCCAGCTGGCGAAAGCTCAGTCCTCTTGTGTCCTAGCTGTCTGCCTCCTCCCCCCCACCCTTCTCCCCCTTTCAGTGTCTTCCTCCCCCCTCATCTTCCCCCAAGGACAGCGCGGAGCCGCGGCATAGGCAAAACAAGACACGGATCACGGCGAGAGGAGGGGCGAATTGGCACGAGAAGGAAAGTAGGCAGGACGCATGGCGAAGCAAAATACGTGTACAGCAGGCCAGGCCAATCCCTCCGTCACTCAAAGCAACGTGCAACCAAGTTCGTATTTTTCTTACAAAATTGACATCCAGCGCCGAGCACGACCACTTCACTCATCCCACGACCTCAATTCTGGCAGATCCGAAACCAGCAATCACCTCTCGTAGTCTCGAACAACAACTTCATTGCAACATTGAACGACTAAGAAAGAACAAGCTTTCTTCTCGCGCATGCACGCACTCGTCGTAGCAGAATGGCTCGCGCAAGCACGTCTGGCGGCGACAAGGCGGCGGAGTTGAGAAAAGGGTCGTGGACAGCGGAGGAGGATGATCTTCTCGTTAAGTGCATCGCGGAACACGGCGACGGCAACTGGAGCGCCATTCCCAGAAAAGCCGGTACGTGGCTGTAGCTCGCACACAGTGTAGATGTTGGATGATGGCAAACGAAACCCAAAGCGCAGACTATCGATAACAGGCAAGGCGGGCTGGTTGCGTAACAGCATCGATGCCGGCTTTTCGGCCTTGAGCAAGCTTTTTTATAAAAAAAGCCAGCTGCTTTCCCGCTCTCTCCCCATAATGAGAAACGACCTCCCCATTCGCCCTTCCACCGTCCCTCCCCGCTCAACACCCCCTTTTCCTCCCTCATCTCTCCTCCACTCCGCGTCGCAGGGTTGCAGCGGTGCGGCAAGAGCTGTCGCCTGCGGTGGACCAACTACCTGCGGCCCGACCTGAAGCGAGGCGCTTTCTCGCGCGACGAGGAGGACCTCGTGGTGAGCCTGCACCGTCAGATGGGCAACCGTTGGGCGAAGATCGCGCTCGAGATGCCGGGGCGCACGGACAACGACATTAAGAACCACTGGAACACGCGATTGAAGCGGCGACTGAGGGACCTCGGCGTCGATCCCGACTCGCACCTCCCGCTGCCCTCCGCGCCGCCCCTGCTCGCCCCCTGTAGCCTCCTCGCTGCCGCGCTGGGGGAACATTCCCGGAAGGGAGTCTCCGCGGGGCCTGTAGAAGCGGCGCAAAGCGCAGATGGCCCACTGTCAAAACGTCGCCGCGTGGATGAGGCGACACACGACGCAGGTTTCGCGTCGCCCACCAGTTCCTCCTCTCGGCTCCTCCCTTCCCTTCACGCCCCCGCTGCTCCCCATGCCGCTCCCCGCGCTGCACCTCCCGGTGCCCCTCCCTCGCCGTGTAGCCTTCCCCCTTCCGCCGTCACGTCGCTTTCCACGCCAGCGGGAGAATCTTCCCCCGGTACTCCCTCCGCCGACGATAGCCCTTCCGCCTCTTCCACTTCCCCCTGCGACAGCCCTTCCGCCCACTTCCCGGCCAGCCCCCCACTGCCTTCTGAGCCCCTTGCGCCTGCTCCCTTGGTCGTGTCCGCGCGCACATCGCCCGGGGTAGTTGCGGAAGCGGAGGCAAAATGGCGCAACCTGCGCCTAGGCCGCGTATGGCGGGAGGGGCCTGGCGTTGGCGAGGAAGACCAAGCTGGTGGCAGCAGAGGCGGGGGACGGGCGGGGGGCTGGCAGAGTGAAGTGAGAGCGGAGATGAGTGCGGTGACGGGACAGGCGGGCGAGGAGGAGGTTGGCAGCATCAACACATGCACCACACCCACTGCAAACACTACAGTCTCTCATAGTGTTATGACGATGCAGCCCCCTGCGTGCTTTGAAGGTGGCCTGCCGCGGACGCATTTGGGAAATCAGGCTGCCTTGATGCGGCTCACTGCGACTGGCAGTGCTGGGCGAGTGAGAGCAGGGTTCAGGATGCCCCCTCGCCTCGTCATCCCTTGCCTTCCAGGGGACACTGAGGCTGATGCCACTGCCAGTGCTGCAGCTGGGATGGATGTTCCTGCAGGGCTGGGTGCGGGTGAAGGGAGCAACCTGGCAGGTGCAACGAATGATAGCACCATGGCGTCTGGAAGATTGCCCAGCCCCCTCGTGCTCATTAACAGGTTGGTTCCTCGCTTGGCCCTTCTGCTCTGTCGCCCTGTCTAACGATGCCTGTCTCTCTGCGGCAGCCCTTCGAGCGTACTAACCATCTCAGTCTATCTCCTCTCCTGCGATTTTCTGCTCGGTTGTTGTTTGCAGCATGTGGGAAGGTACTGATCCCACCAACCTCTGGTCAGCCGACTCCTCTCTTGATGAATCGCCTCTCATCCTGCCCAGTCCTAAATTGATCCCCTTCACTCCGTCCAGCCTTCTCACAACCACTAACAAACTGACACTCTCTTCAGGAGCAACACTGACGCCTGCACCAGCAGTGGGGGCTCATACGGCCATAGGAGAACTCACAGCATTCGACACGACACCGCAGCCATTAGGGAACTGCCACATGGCAGCCTTGGGCAGGTGCCGGCTTGACAGGATTGTCTATGAAGGTAACAGATCTACAGGGACTCCAGGTGCCCATATCCCGATTGCGTTGATGTCACCTTGTGATCCTGGTGTAGGCAGCGTGCAGGTAACAGGAGCAGGGACATCACTCTTTGATGCATACGATGTAGGCACGCCACAAGGTGTGCTTCCTTCCCCTCATGGAGCTAGCTTTGCAGGAAGCTTAGTGAGTATATTTCCTTCTTTCCATAGAATAGCTTCAGTTGGAGCCCTTCAGAAGTTACCAAATTAGGTTAGAAAATGATTTTGATTGTACTTGATGCTGTAGTATTTATATATCTACTAACATGGCTTGTTATTTATGTTCGTTCTACCTGCGGGTGAACACCACAAGAGAATGAATCGGGGATTGTCGAGTGTTCTTGTCCGCACCCTCGTTAGAAGAAACCCTAGCCCACAGGCCAAGTCACCGAACCAACAGATTCAAATTTGTAAGCGTTCGATCGACACTCGATAATCTCGTTGGGGGACATGGTCTTCATCCCACCGTCCGTTTGGTGCAGACCCCTCAGCCCCCCCCGATATCGACCAACCATCCTGCTGCCTCCTTCCATTCTTCACCCACCTCAGAAACATGCGAGAAACAAGGAACCAGCAGCAATAATCAGACGAGCAGGATTCTTGAAGCTAACGGTAGCTTTGTATCCTGAATTCTTGAAGTAGCGCGTCGTTTGTCGCGTGTCGCTCGCTCAATGCGGGGCCTTCACGGATGGTCGCACTTTGCGATAGCGAAGGGTGGGGCCTTTTGACGGTCCAGCTTCCTGGCAAGATGCCGTCAGCTGAAACAGAGGACGACGGGGTGGTGGAGGTTTCGTCGGATGATTCCAGCCAGGATCAGAGTCCAGAAGGAGGACGGTTGCCCGTCGGTTTGGAAGTCGAGGTATCTTATCCGTCTCGATTCCTATAATTTCGTTTCTTATCGTCGCGCAGGCGACAAATCTGGAATTTAGGAATTTCATTCGTGCGTCCAAGTCTCTTAAGTCCACCAGGCGTAACATTGGTGACCATATAATATGTTATCATCAGACGTATTCACTTTAGCTTCGCGGCTGCTTTCTTGTAGGCACTGCGACCAGGGCTAGTACTTTTTGTAAATCATTATCCTAAGTTTCGTATTTTCTGCTACTCCGTAGCGCAATTTCCACTTTAAGCACGGATTTCCGTCGTTTCCCTCCGCCGATACCCCGCAGGTGCGGCAGCTGGAGGAGGGCTTGCGCGGTTCATGGCACCCGGCGGCGGTGGTGGGCGTGGAAGACGGCTGGCGCGTCGTGCAGTATCAGGAGCTTATCAAAGACGATCTCTCCGAGCCGCTCGTCGAAGCCATTCCTCTCGCGTCCTACTTTACCTCGGGAACTCCGCACCAGGCTCCACCACCCGATTCCCCGTGGAAAACTCTTATCGAGTCCGCAATGACGAAATTCGCGAAGCTGGTAACGACGGGCGGGGTGAACGGCCGCGCGGTGAAGCCGGTGCTGCGGCCGCGCCCGCCGCAGGAGCACGTGCCGTCGTACAGGCGGTGGCGCGCGGGCGCGCCGGTGGACATGCTATGCAACGACGCGTGGTGGGAGGGGTTTCTCCTCGCGGACGTCGTGCGCGTCGGCAAGCGCACGGAAGTTCCCGTGGAGTTCCCTGATGAGGCGACCTCGGAATCGGTTGCGATCGGTCTGTTGCGGTTCGGGCAGGATTGGGACGAGCGCACGGGCGAGTGGCACCCGCGGAAGGTGGAGGGGGCTGCGGCGAGGATTGCGGGTGGAAGCGGAAGCGCGGGTTGCGAGAACGGCATAGCGAGACTTAGCTTGAAGCCGCGCGGGGATGGTAGAGGGGTTGAGAACGGTGCGGTTAGCAGCGAGCTTGCGCACGAGCAGACAGCCTCGATAGTACTGGAAGCAGGGGATGGTATAGATGGAGGCTCCGAAGAAGCGCCCGATGCTGCTGCAGCCGACACTCCCAAGGTGGCCGCTGGTAGCCTGGATGCCACTACTAGGGCAGACATGGGGCGTTATAGCGGCGGGAAGAAGATCAGGCGCAGAGACTCAGGTTTAGGGTTAGGGTTAGGGTTAGGGTTGGGTAACGGTGCGGGCGCAGGCACGGGGCTGGGCGTGCTGCATTCACGGGGCGCAGGGTCGCAACACGTACGGGAGGTGAACGAAGTGTCTGACGTGAGCCAGGCGAGAGAAGGGAGAGGGGTGAGAGAAGGCAGAGTGGCGGGAGAGGCGGGAGAGGCGAGTGGGGTGAATCGGCACGAGGCTGGGTCGCCCTTGGACAGGGTTGCGCCGAGGGGAAATCGCGTGACGGAGCAGAAGAGAGTGAGCATGGGCGGAGGGGGAGGGTCAGGGGGGAAGCAGGCGGCGGGTGAGGGCAGCGCGGGGAGGCAGAGGGAGGGCGCAATGGTGATAGGCAAGGGCGCCAAGGCGCAGGGCAGCAGAGGCAGGGCGCGGCAGCTCCGCGTGAGAGAGGCCCCTGGGGCAGCGGACGAGGCAGCAGGGGAGGTACCCGGAGGAGGGTTTGCCCCGGACTCCGCGGAGCACGCAGGCGGCGCGGACGCTCCGCCTGCGCGCAGGGCTCCCACGCACAAGAAGCACTCCATAGCGAAGGTGTACCCGCCTGGGAGGGACCTAGCGCGGCTGATAGACCAAGGGCTGGTGAGGGACGGCGAGGCAGTGGAATATAGGGACATGCGGGAGCGGCGGGCGCTCAAGAGCGGGCGGCTGTCGCGGCAGGGCGTGACGTGCGACTGCTGTGGGCGCATGTTCAATCTCTCGGGGTTTGAGGCGCACACAGGGGTGACGTATAGGCGCCCTGCGGCGAATATGTTTCTGGAGGACGGGCGGACGCTGGCCGTGTGTAAAATGGAGGCGGAGAGGAGCGCGTACGGGGGAGGCGGAGGCGCAGGCACAGGCGCAAGCGCTGCCAGGGGTGGTGGAGGGGGTGGGGTGGCTGTGGGGAATGGCACAGTGAGGGAGGCAGGCGGAAGGGCGGCGGGTGGTGGGCAGGAGGAGGGGAAGGGGGAAGGGGCGGCGAGGAAGGTGGTGAGGGTGAAGGGGCTGGGGTCGAAGGTGAAAGGGGCGGGTGGGGAGGGGGGCGGGGAGGGCGCGGAAGGGGAGGGTGGGGGAGCGGGGGAGCGGAGTGACTACAGTGACGTGCTGTGCCGGCTGTGTGGGGATGGCGGGGAGCTGCTGTGCTGCGATGCCTGCCCTGCCACACTGCACCTGCCCTGCGCTGGCCTGCAGGTGTGTGCCATTCTCGTGCCCTTTACTTGCCCCTCTCATCCCCTCTGCATACGCCCCCTGTAATCTTGACGTGCGTGTTATGATCTTATGCCCATCCCCCCCACCTCCGCATCCCCCACCTTCCCATCTCCTCATCCCCCCATTCTAACATCTCCTTCTCTGGATCCCCACCATCTGTCATCCCCCCCTGTGCCCATGCGCATGGGTGGCGAGCAGGCGTTGCCAGGGGGCAACTGGTTCTGTCCGGCATGTCGCTGCTCCATCTGCGGGGGCAGTCACTACGGCACACACGGCTTTGGCGACGACACCGTCATCTTCTGCGACCAGTGCGAACGCGAGTGTGCGTGCCCGGGAGGGGGGTGGTGGTGAGGGGTGGGGGAGAGAGGGAGTGAGGTGCAGGCGAGTGCGGGATGTGGGGTGAGCGAGAGGGAAGTGATTGCGCACGCGCCTTCTGGCCTGCACATCAACCCAAAACGTCCACTCACTCATCAGCGATCTTCCAACTTTGCGTTGCTGCTTTTATGCCTCAAGCCTGTCACTTGTGTTGTATCACATCATTACCATGCCGTAATGTCGTCCTCACCCCCATGTTTCAAACAAATGCGCCCCTTTTTCAATCAGACCATGTGAGCTGTCTCAGGGACATGGGGTGGGCAGACCTCAAGGAGCTCCCCACCGGCCGCTCCCTCGTCTGCCTTGCTGCTCCCATGTCTCAAGCCTCTCCCACACCTGCTCCTCCCTCCCCCCGTTCCTTGTCCCCCCCACATCCCTCTCCTCTTCCTCCAATCAGACCATGTGAGCTGCCTCAGGGACATGGGGTGGGCCGACCTCAAGGAGCTCCCCACCGGCCGCTTCTTCTGCCGCCCACAGTGCCGCACCGTGAGTGTCTTTTGTCGTCTTTTCACTGCCCGTTCCCGTTACGCCTCACTCCTCAAATATTCACCCCTCAACCCAAAACCCTCACCCCTAACCCCAACCCCTCACTCCTCAACCCTGACCCCTCACCCCTAATTTTCCAACCTTAACCCATAAACCCCACCTCACCCCTCACCCCTCAACCCTCACCCCTCATCTCCGAATCACAGGTGTTTTTCGGCCTGCAGCGCCTCATAGGCAAGCCCATCTCCCTTCCGGGCGGCTTCTCCTGGACGCTTCTGCACGCGGAGGGTCCCCGCAGCGAGGCAGGGTCAGTGACCAAGGAGGAGCGACGGCACGACAGCCTGCTGAGAGAGCGGACGGGCGAGGTGGAGAGGAAGCTGCGGTGCGGCATGGAGGTGATGAGGGAGTGCTTTCATCCCATCAAGGATGCTTTCACTGGCGAGGACCTCGTGCCCATCATCGTGCACAGCAAGAGGTAAGCTGCTCTTGCCTGTGCCCTCCCCTTGGCCCTTTTCTGTTTCCTCCCTTGTGCGTTCCCCTGTGCCCTCCCTTGTCCCCTCCCCTGCGCCCTCTGCTCCTCCTGCTCGTGCATGTGACCTGCGGGGACCTTGTTACCCTCACCCGCACAATCTCTCCTTTCCCTCATCCACTGGCGTTTCTCCTCAGGTTTCGCTCCACTCCTCTTCACTCCTGCCCACTCCTCTCCGCCCATGTGCACCCCCTCTCCCACCTACTCCAGCACGAAGCATCGGGACTATTCGGGGTTCTACACGGCAGTGCTGCAGCAGGGCAAGGAGTCCATCACTGCTGCCAGCATCAGGTGCGCTGCTGCACGGACTCCTCAGCCTTTGTACTCCATGCATGCACACATGGGTTGGTTGGGTCACCTGTATTTGCCGGGGCCTTGCTGGAGGAGTGGGTTCTCTGCTGTCAGCATCAGACGGGCTGCTGAAGCCGCTCCGCCACCATTTCTGGTGTTGTGCATTGTACGAGCGAGGCAGGCTGTGTTCGTTTCATCATTTTCTCACCCCTCATGTCCCCACCCACACCGCCCTCCACCCCGCCTCCTTCAACCCCCCCCTTGTCTGTGCTCTTCAGGGTGTACGGCTGTGAGTTAGCAGAGATGCCACTCATAGGCACACGCTTCCGCTACCGCCGCCAGGGCATGTGCCGGCGCCTGCTGCAGCAGATAGAGCACCTGCTCGCCTCCCTCGGGGTCCGCAGGTTCCTTCTGCCAGCTGTCCCCGAGGCTGATGCCACGTGGCGCCAGGGCTTTGGCTTTGCTGACATGTCAGCCGAGGCGCGGCGGCAGCTGCTACAGCTGGACGTGCTGGTTTTCCCCGGGACGGCGGTTTTGGAGAAGGGGCTCCCGGTGCTGCCGCCCGCTGCCGCCCCTGCCGCCCTGCCGCTGCTTGTGGCCGGGCCGGCCGGGCAGTGGAAGCTGGGGTCTGGGGGGAGAGGGGCGGCAGTGGCGGGTGGAGCAGCAGCAGGGGGGGCGGGGGGAGTGAGGGCGGCAGGGGCGGTGGTTGGGGGGAGACTGGGGGGCAGGAGGGGGATGGGGAGGGGCGGGGGGAAGCTGATGCTGCCAGGGCGGAAGGGCACAGGGAGGGGCCTGGGGCGGGGAGGGAAGTTCAGCCTGAGGGGCAAGGCGCTGGGGGTGCAGGGAGGAGGGGTGAGGGCGAAAGAAGGAGCAGGGGAGGGGTTGGTGTTGGAGCATATGTGGGCGTCTAAGGGAGTGAATGGGCACAGGCGAGTGAAGAAACTCAAAGTGAAACTCAAACTCGAAGCAGACCCGCACCACTCTCAACCGCAACCCGTCTCACTGCACCCACACACGCTCCCCATCGCCCCTCCACTCCTCCCAAGCCCAGCTCTGCCGTCTCCCTCTGCCCGTCATTCTTCTCTCCCTCCCACCCCTCACACCCCCCCACTCCCCGCCACTTCCCCCGGGAAACACCTTGGGGGAGGGGGGAGGGTGCGCCTCCCCCTGAGAATCCACCCTCTGCCAGAGGATCTGCGGTGGCGGGGGGGAGAGGGGGAGATTCGGCTGGTGAAATACAAGAACTGGCCGGCTAGTATGCTGCGGCAGCGGCATAAGCAGCGCCTGGCGCATTTGGAGGGGTTGGGAAAGGTGGGAGCGGGTGCGGAGCTGTTGAGTGTGGTGGTGGGGTATGTGGGGCTGCCGTGGCGCGTGCTGCAGTGGGGCGGGGAAGGGGCGGAGTGGGTGGGCAGGAAGGAGGAGGAGGGTGAAGAGGAGGACATTGGTGCTAACATGACTGCTGCTGCTGCCACGGCTGCTGGCACGGGTGGGTATAGCGCTGCTGCCAATGCGAGCGGGGAGGGTGCTGCTGCTGGTTCTGCTGCTGCTGCTACCGCTGGTATCAGTACCGGTGGCAGTGCGTTGGTGTGGGGGGTGGAGAAGGCATATGTAGACGCACCACCGTGGTGCAAGGACACCTGCTCCTTCCTCTCTGACCAGTACTGTTCAGACCTTGCCGCCGCTGCCGGCGCTGTCAACGCTGCTGCAGACGCCGCTGCAAAAGCTGCCGCTGCTGCTGCTGCCGCTGCCCCTGGTCTCCCCCGTGGGTCCCGTCGCTCCGGCCACTCTCGCTCCCACCACCACCATCGCTCTAGTCACCCTCGCGTTAGTCACCCTCGCTCCAGTCACCATCGCACGCTGCCTGTGAGCAACCTGTACAAGCAGTTGACCTCAGCAGCAGCTGACGAGGCAAAGCCCTGCGCGCTCGTGCCTGTGGCAGCTGAGCCTTCCAGCACCACTCTTGTGCCTCTCCCCTCTGCCCCTGCCCTGCTCGTTGCTTTGCCTGTCGCATTGCATGTCCCTGTTCTGCCTGCTGCCCTGCCTGCTGCGTTGCCTGGTGAAGCCTCGACGGCTGTCTGTGTCTCTCTGGCACTGCGGGCTGTACCTGCAGCAGGGGCTGGTGGTATGGCGGATGAGGGAGTGGGTGGAGAGCGCTGTGAGGTCAAAGAAGAGGAGAAGGCTGAGGGGGAGGCAGAGGGGAATGGAGTGAGGGAGGCTGAAGGGAGTCCAGAGAGGGAAGCAGCCGGGATTGGAGAGAAAGGGGTAGAGGGTAATGATGAGGAGCAATCAGAGATTAGAGCAACAGACGGGGATGCAAAAGGGAGGCAGCTACGGGGGAGGGGTGAAGGAGAGTCAGGTGCGGTTAGGAGTGGTGCGAAGCGGTGGAGCGAGCAGCAGGGGCAGAGAAAGGCAGCACGGCAGTCCCCTAGGCTGGCGGAACTGGGGGCTGAGAAACAACTCAAGGCAGTCAAAGCAGTGAAAACGACCAACATGGGCAAGATGGGTCATGCAGGCAAGGCCAGTAAGGCAAGCGGCATGAATCACATGGTTACTACCAGCACGAACAACACGAGCAACGCATACAACACGAGCAATGGAGGGATTTTGAGTATTATGGGTGATGAATGTGAGGCGGTGGTGCCGAGTAGGGAGTGGGGCAAGGAGGGGCGGCGAGGGCCCATGCTGGTGGTGATTGCTCTTGAGGCGCCTGAACGCGTGGAGGGACCTCTGGATGCTGCGTATTGGGCTCGGGCTGAGAAGGATGCGAGGCGGTGCAGTGCGGTGGAGGAGGGTGAGGGGGCGGGGGATTTGGGCCGAGAGAGGGGAGAGGCGGGGGAGGAGGAAGAGGGAGGAGAGGGGGAAGAGGGGGGAGAAATGGGAGAGGAGGAAGAGGGGAGGACACTTGATGGGGCTGGTGGTAGAGGTGGGGATGGGGAGGACGAGGAAGTAATGGTGGATGCGGAAGGAGGAGCAGGAGGGCGGAAAGGCAGTGCAGCAGCAGAAGCAGGTGGGGCAGGAGATGGGGTGGAGGGTGGGGAGGCAGCAGAACCAGTGCACACACCATCAGCAGCAGCACGGGCGCGAGATGAAGCAGGGAGGCGGGCAACCAGGGCAGCAGGGGCGGGAGGGGCGGGAGGGCGGGCGGGAGGGGTGAGAGTGAGGGTGAGGGCGGAGGCGCTGCAGCGGGTGGTGCGCACGTTTGGCATTGAGGAGATGTGGCGCGCCGTGCCCGTGGAGGTGATCGTTAGGGCAGATCAGGAGGATGGGGCAGATTTGGCAGGTGGGCTGGATGGGGCAGATGCGATGGATGAGATGGGTATGATGGGTGTGGTGGATGGGGTGTGTGAGGTAGAGCACCTGCTGTTAGAGGGGTCACATGGGGAAGGGATGGAGCTGAGTGCGGTTCAGAGCGGTGGTGGTGCTGTGTGGAGGTCTGTGCCTGACACGCCGCCGCCTGAGCTTTCCCTGCCACCCATCGGGCGGCGTCCTTTGGCTTTCCAGTTGCCGCCCAGTGCCTTTGAGGATTCACCCAGTACCACACCGTGCGCACTGCAACACTCCCAGATGACACCTGCCATTCAGATGACACCTATCTCTCAAATGACACCTGTCTCTCAGATGACACCTGCCTCTCAGATGACACCTGCCTCCCAGATGACACCCGCCTTCCAGATGACACCTGCCTTCCAAATGACACCTGCCTCCCAGATGACACCTGCCTTCCAGATGACACCTGCCTTCCAGATGACACCTGTCTCCCAGATGCCACCTGCCACCCAGATGACACCTGTATTTCAAATCGCACCTGCCACACACATACCTCTTGTAGTCACGGAACCAACTCCTGCTGTTTCCGCTGTCTCTGTGCTTCCGCCCCAGGCAGAGGTCCCAACAACAATAGCAGTAGCAGCAGCCGAAACAGCAGCAACAGAAGAAGCAATACCTGTAGCATCACAAGTAGCAGAAAGAGCAGCAGCAGCAACAGAAGTGGAAGCATCAGTACCAGCAGAAGCAGTAACAGTAACAGAAGCAGTAACAGCAGCAGCAGCAGCAGCTGTATCTGAAGCAGCTCCTGAATCACCAGCGGCAGAAGCAGTGGCATCAGTAGCATCAGTACCAACGGCGGCAGCAGTAGCAGTGGCAGAGGCTGCAGCTGAAACAGCGGAAGCAGCAGTATTAGGAGCAGCAGCATCAGCAGTACCAACATCACAAGCAGCAGCAGCAGCAGCAGCAGCAGCAGACATTCCAGCCGCTGCTGCTACCTCCACAGCACCATCCACCATGACAGGCCCCCAGGCAGCAGCGAGAGGAGAGGAGTCCATGGCAGGTGGTGATCCCTGTGTGGCCGGCAGAGAGGAGGTTGAAGGGGGGAGAGGGGGCGAGAGGAAGACAGGGGAAGTGGGGGGCAGCGAGAATGCAAACCAGCTGCTTCCAGCCAGTGTGGCCCGTGATGCCTCCCCTGATGCACCTGTGAGTGTGGCACCTGAGGCTGTGGCACCTGAGGCTGTGGCACCTGAGAGTGTGGCACCTGAGGCTGTGGCACCTGAGGCTGTGGCACCTGAAGCTGTGGCACCTGAAGCTGTGGCACCTGAAGCTGTGGCACCTGAAGCTGTGGCACCTGAAGCTGTGGCACATGAGGATGTGGCACCTGGGAGTGTGGCACCTGAGAGTGTGGCTCCTGAGAGTGTGGCACCTGAGAGTGTGGCTCCTGATGGTGTGGCACCTGAAGGTGTGGCACCTGAGAGTGTGGCACCTGAAGGTGTGGCACCTGAAGGTGTGGCACCTGAAGGTATGGCACCTGAGAGTGTGGCACCTGAAGGTGTGGCACCTGAAGGTGTGGCACATGAGTCAGCAGCAGCACTAACACCAGATGAACCTTGCAACGACTCTCACCACAACACCCACCAGGACTCTCGCCACGACTTTCACCACCCCTCGCCTGTGCCAGCGCAACACCTAATGCTGCTGCCCAGCCCTGCTGCTGTCTCCCCGGCCCTCCCCTCCCCTCTGCACCCCGCTCTCTCACATCCAGCCCCAGCCAGCCCAGTCCTGACCATGCTTCCTGCGCCACTGTCCCCCTCCCATTTACCTCCGTCTCCGCACTCCCCTTTACAGCTCCCACATCCCTTATCACTTCCACCCACTGACCAATCCGCCTTCCCACAATCGCCCCTCGCGCTCCCCCCTCCATCCCCCACCGCGACCCCCCTACCACCGCCTCTCCCCCTCAGCTTCCCCTGGCTTCTCCTCCCTGGCTCCTCCATCCCCCCCAACCTTGCTTGGCGCCAATCCTCCCGCCCAGTGCCCCTCGTGTGGGCGGCAAGCAATGGCAGGACAGGGCAAGGGGAGGGGGAGGGGGAGGGGGAGGGGGCGGGGGCGGGGGGGAAGAGGCGGAGACGGCTGGCTGCACTGACAGACACAGGAGGGGAGGGTTTGGCAGAGGGGAGGGGGAAAAGGAAGAGGCGGGGCAGGGAGAGGGGGAACGGGTGGGGGGAGAGCAAGGCGGAAAGGGGCATGAATGGTGTGGCACTTGCTGGTGCTCCTGGTGGTGGTACTGCTGCTGCTGTTGCTGGTAACATTGCCAGTGGTGTTGCTGGTGCTGGTGCTGGTGCTGGTGGCGGTGGTGGGGTGGTGGGGGGGATGAGCATGCGGTTGCGGCGAGTGGTAAAATCACCATCATGGTTGCTGCAAGGCGTGAGGGGCGCGGGAGGGGACGGAGCAGGCGAGGGGGAGGAGGGGGACGAGGGGGACAAGGCACGGGCAGGGAGGGCAGGAGGGGAGGGGGAAGAGAGGCGGCGGAGGGGTGGGGGTGCGCAGGTGGGGGGCGAGGGGTGGGTGTATGGGGTGGAGGAGGAGTGGGTGCCCAGCAGTGCCGTGTGCCGCAGGCGGCGCTCGGATTCGACACGGCGGGCTCGGGCTGTGGGGGAGAGGTTCTCTGGAGAGAGGGTGGATGGGGCGAGAGTAGATGGCCTCTCACAGGGGCATCAACAGCAGCAGCAACAACAGCAGCAGCGGCAGCAGGAGCACGGTTTGAGTGGCCTGCTGTCTTGGCCTCTCACTGACGCTACTGCTACTGCTGCTACCGCTGGTGCTGCCGGTGCAGTGTGGCATGTTGGTGGTATTGGCAGTGCTGGACGCACACCCACCGGTGTGCGTAAGAAACGCCGAGGCAGCAGCACCGCTGCTCTCACCCCTGCTTCTGTTTCTGCTGCTGCGTCCCCTGCACCTGCTACCGCCGCAGCCAGCGCCACAGGTAGTGTGATTCTCCGAGCGGCAGCAGTGTCAGCAGCAGTGTCATCGCCCCAGCCCCATGCTCACTCCCCCCGTGCCAGTCATCGCACGTGCCGGCAGGGATGGCGGGTAGCAGGGGGCGCAGCGCGGCTGATAGCTTATCGCGGCCGGGAGGTGGGTGCTGGGGAGGGTGGGTCTGAGGAGGGGCGGTGTGATGGTGCTGGGGATGGGGTGCTGTTAGTGCGGGCAGGTGGAGGGGAGGGGGTAGCAGAGGGAGGGAGAGGGGTGGGGGTAGAGACACCTGGTGTATTGGCTGTTGGGGGCCAGGAGTCATATGCTGGTGGGGGACGGGCAGGGGTGATTGTGGCATTGACAGCTAGAGGGGCAGCGGGAGGAGCAGCAGGGGGAGTGGTGTGTGGTGGTGTGGGCCTATCGCGACCAGAAGCTGCTACAGTAGCAGGGATGGCAGAGGAAGGAGCAGCAGCTGGAACGGCAGATGTTGCAGAAGCAGCAGCAGCAGCAACACCAGCAGAGCTTCCTGTCGTGACAGCAGTGGAGGGAGTGGTGGGTACCATGCCTATAGGGGGGTCCGCCAAAGTGCCTGTATGGGGGATGCAGTACAAGCGGCGCAGGGTGGAGCGGTGGAGGGGAGAGAGGGGGTGCAGTGAGAGTGGAGGGGATGGCAGCACGGAGGCAGGGGCAATGGAGAGCGACATGGGGAGCAGGGACCATGTGCATGGCGGCGTTGACATGAGACACATGGGAGATGTGGGGGATGTGGGGGTTGTGAGAAGTGTGGGAGGGAATGGAGCACTCTATGAAGGTGTTGAGAGCGGTGCAGATGGTGCTCATTCGGGTGGTGCTGGTGGGAGTGGCGCGATGGAGAGCAGCAGCGGCGTGGATTTGATTCTGTCCGCCTCTGCCTCACACAGCTGGAGCAGCAGCCGGGGCGTGTCAGCTGGAGTGGTGCCGTCAGGTAGTGCAGCGGGGGCGGAGAAAGGAAGTTGCAGGCATGTCATGCTCACGCGTGGGTCACACGGGCATGTGTCACAGACGCATGGGTCGGAGGGCCATGCGTCTAACACGCATGTGTGCCGCACGGAGGCAGTGTCTCGAGAGCGGTCGCTGCTGGCATGTGTGAAGGACGAGCTTATGGTGGAGGCAGCCTCGCTGGCAGCTGCTGAGACGTTTGTTGGGGGCCAAGCTCCTTTGACCGAAGCACCAGCAGCAGCAGCGCAAGCAACAGCAGCGCAAGCAGCAGTAGTGCCATCAACAGGAGCACAAGCCCTTTCAGCAGCAGCTTCTCCATTGGTGCAGAACACGTGTCACGAGGCATCAGCGCGAGTTGTCTCGGATGTTAGCCAGCAGCAGCAGCTGTGGACGGGGAAGGAGGAGCAGCAGGAGGTGGAGGAGCAAGAGCAGCCGGCGGAGGAACGACAAGAGGGCCAGGAGCAAGGGCAGGAGCAGGACCGGCAGCAGCAACAGCAGGAGGAGCAGCAGCAGCAGCAGCAGCAGCAGCAGCAGCAGCAGCAGCAGCAGCAGGCAGCCCGGTTGTCAGCACGAGCAGCCCACCGGTCCACATTCAAGCTGGAGAGGCTGAGCCTGCTCTCCCTCTCCCCTGTTGTGGGCCGCCCCGGCTCTGCAGGCAATGAGGGGCCGCTGGGGTTGGCTGAGGTGGGGGGGCGGAGACGCAGCAGCAGACTGCTGGAGGGGCAGGGGGGAGGGGATGAGGGCGAGAAGGGCAAGGCTGCAGGGGAGGAGGGTGAGAAGGGCAAGGTGGGAGGGGAGGGAGCAGAGGAAGGGGTAGCGGGAGCAAGGAATGCGGAGAGTGGTGAGGGGAAGCAGAGGCGGCGAGTGGGGGTGGTGGGGGGTGTTGGTGTGGCAAGAGGGGGCGGTGCTGGTGCTGCTGGTACGGGGGAGGTGAGAGGGAAGGGACAGAGCAGCAGCAGGGGGGCCAGCGGGGCAGAGAAGCGAGTGCTGTTCCTGAATGGCTTGGGGGCGGGGGAGAGGAGGGGGTGTGTGAGTGCGCAAGGCCTTGACGCGTCAGAAGATGGAGATGTTGTGGAAGTGCAGGGGGAGGAGCGGGGGAGGGAAGGCGGCGAGGAGGAGATCAGCAGGGGATTCAACTCAGCAGCAGCTACACCGCTCCCCCGCGCCACACTGCTGTGGTCCCCTGGCCCTCTGCTGCTCCCCCCCTCTGGCGCCCCACCCTCCCCCTGGCGCTTGGATGAAGTGGGTGAGAGGGAGGCGGAGAGGGAGGTGGATAGGGAGGGAGAGGGGAGGGATGTGCAGGTGGTGAGGGTGGAAGGGAAGGAGGAGGTGATGGGGAAGGAGCGGGAGGAGGAGGGGGAGGAGGGACCGATGGGCAATGGTCCTGAAGGGCCTCCTGGTACAGCACAAGTCGGGGACAGTCTTGCAGGTGCATGCAGGCAAGGACTGGCGGTAGAGCAGCGGAAGGTGGCAGCGCACGAGGCAGAGCAGGGGATGGTGGAAGATGAAGAATTCGTGGCAGAGCAAGAGGCAGTAGCAAGGGATGCAGCACGAGCAGGTGCAGAGGAGGGCACAGGGATGCAGGACCCGGCAAGTGCATTGCCCCCGGAGGCCTCTCACTCTCACACCCCGCACACCTGCCCTTCCATACCAATCTCTGCTTTGTCATGTGGTGCTGCCTCCACATCCATTCAAGAGGCCGTTCCTTCACCTCCTCTTTCAGTGATAGTGCCAGCAGCACCATCAGTACCACCACTACCACCGTCAGCAGCAGCGGCAGCAGCAGCAAGCAAGTCTCTCAACACACCAGTAAACGCTCCAGACGCATCGGCAGCCAGTCAAGATGTGAAGGAGCAGGCACAGCAGGCCACAAGGCCACCCATTGCCATCGACCTCCTCACTTCCTCCTCCAAGTCCTCCTGGCCCACCCTCGCACCCTCCACCACACCAGCGGCAATCCCAAGGGAGGTAACCTGGTTACCACCTCCAAGCATCACCACGCTACCATCGCCTTCCACCACAGGCACGTCGCCCTTGTGTTCCCCATTGGCCCCGTCTCCCACACTGATGTATCAGAGGAGGCGATTGGCCGCTCCTCGTGAGCTGCCGTTGCGTGTGTTTGGTGATTTTGTTGCCAAGCAGCGCGATGCTGCTGTTTCGCCTGACATGCGGCTGACTAGAGCTGCTGCCTCGCGATTGCATCTGACGAATCAGGATGAGAATGATAGGACGTTTAGGTGATTTGGTAGGATGTAGCTGTACCGAAAGTACACATTAACAATCACAAAGCAGATTTTTACGATGAAGCTTGTATGTGCTGGGCGTAGTCAGGTCTTACAGTAATACAACTCCCATGCATTCTGTGGTCTATTTCGTTGCCTCACGAATTGTGAAAGCTTGCCTATTGCAACTTGTGATAGGCATCGTGCTTCATTTCATCTGGTTAAGAGCACATCAATCTTGTCCAAAGGTCTACAAAATACAATTTCACTACTAGGGTGGGAGGGTGGGGAACTCAAACTAAAAATATGAAAAGAAGAACGTGGTCTCAGAAAGTGAATGCAACGGAATGTTTGACTTAGGAGAGCAAGGCATACAAATAGAAACCCTAAGAGTGTTGTACTCCTTAGAGTGCTACTCACTGCAGCCTACAACCAATAACAACATTTGACACACCCCCGTAGGCTAAGTGAGGGGCATCAAAGCAAGCATGGTGAACAAACAGTCACAAGACCAGTCAAAGCAAGAAACAAGGCAAGCTCAGGGTGGATCTCAAGGACACCACACAAATTCCGAGCGCAAGCAAGCGGCCACAAGGCCAGTTCAAGAGTTCACTAGGATATATATATGAAAAACACAACAAGCAGAGCAACCAACAAGACTACAGCAACCGAGGGCCTACCTCAACAAGCCCCAACTGCACACAAAACCTGTGGTGATCACCAAGCGCCAAGGCCTTGGTGAAGACGTCTGCAGTGTTGGCCTCTGAGGCCACAAAGTCCAGGCGTGCCTGGCCGCGTCGCTGCAGCTCTCGCAGGAGGAAGTACCTCACGTCAATATGTTTCACTCTGCTCTCCAGTCGAGGCTCTCGACACAGGAGGATCATGGCCTTGTTGTCAGCGTACAAGGTCGGTGCAGAGCGAAGCCGCTCACCAAGGTCGGCGAGCAAGAAGGTCAACCAGCGAAGCTCCTGTGCCGCCATGGCACCAGCGTAGATCTCTGCCTCTGCACTGGAAGTAGCCACAGACGACGACCGTGTAGACCTCCACGACACAGCACCAGCTCCCAGACTGAAGCAGTAACCCTGAGTCGAGCACTGAGTCTCCACGTCGTCAGCGTAGGAAGAGTCACAGTGACCAGTCAACGCCACTGGCTGAGTCCCTCCAAGCACAAGCCCCATGCCTGATGTAGTCGCCAGGTACTTCGCCACCCTCACAGCAGTTGTCCAGTGAACAGGACGTGTCTCCCAGTCACAACAAAGCGAGAGAGGACGCTGAGGGGAAAGGCGAGGTCCGGCCGAGTACAAGTCATCAGGTACATGAGGCAGCCCACCAGCTCTGCGTAGGGACCACTGGGCTCAAAAGGCTCGTCGGGAAAGGGGCCAGCGAGTCTGTGGTCAATAGCAAGAGGTGTGGGCTGTGTGGTGGAGAACTGGAAGTCGAACCGCCGAAGGACCTGCTGCACCATGTGTGACTGAGTCAATGTGATGGTGCGAGCGGCTCTGTCCCTGGTGATCTGCAGGCCAAGGTAGCGCTGCAGTTCACCTAGGTCAGTGCACGTGTGTCTCTTCTGCAGTTCGGACTTCACCTCAGCCAGAGCTGCCCTGTCTGCTGTGGCAAAGACCAAGTCATCGACGTACACTAGTATAAAGAAAGGAGTGGAACCAGTGCGAACAAACAGCGACGGGTCGGCAGAGGAAGGACAAAACCCAAGGTCACGAAGCGTGGAGCGAAGAGTGTCGTGCCACTCACGGGGCGACTGGCGGAGACCGTAGACTGGCCGTCTCAGGCTCCACTGGGTCCCAGGTGGGAAGGTGTCGGTGAAGCCAGGAGGGTGGCGCAGCCAGATCTCCTCGTGTAGTCGGCCCTGGAGAAACGCAGTAGAGAAGTCAAGGGAGTGCAGCTCGTAGTCTCGCTGTGCTGCTACGTGCAGTAACACCCGAAGAGTAGTCATCTTCGGGGTCGGGGCGAAGGTCTGGAAGAAGTCAACTCCCTCACGCTGACTGAAACCCCTAGCCACGTAGCGCGCCTTGAACACAGGCGGTGAACCAGGCGGCCGCTTCACCTTGAAGAGCCACATGCCATCGACTACGTTCGCCCTGGGAGGGGGAACTGCGTCGACGTAGGTGCCTGTGGATCTCCAAGACGCTAACTCCGAGGCCATAGCCGCTTTCCACTGTGAGGCCCACGCCCCTGACACTGCCTCGCGGTAAGTGCGAGGAGTCGGTATGTCAAGGGCGTCGGGGTCTCCCTCAGGGGATAGCAGCATGGCACAGACAGAGGGAGAAGCGGCTGCCCAGTACTCCAGCTCAGACTCTCTGTCCTCTAGGACGTCACAGCCAAGGGCAAACCCACCCCCGACGGACAGAGGACGGGAGGGAGGAGCTGGCACCACACGGGTGGTGTAGTCAAGGCGACTCGCGGCAGCAAACTCAGTGACAGCGGCAGTGAGAGCCGAGACAGACGACGGAGGGAAACGAGAGTCGGTGACAAGAGTGGCGAGGACACGAGAGACAACAGGACGAACAGCGTGGTAGTAGTCAGTGACAGGAGTAGGGGGGAAAGGGAGAGAGGACGGAGGTGGACACGGGAGAACGGACTCAGGAGGAGGACGACGAAGAGACGAACAAAGGAGGGCAGTGCGGAGGTCGGTAACGGGAGACGAGTGACAAGCACGCGGAGGACAGGGACGGACACGAGAGTGCGGGACACCAAGTGGAGGAGACTGCGGTGGAGGAGAAGACCAGACCGCCGGACGGGCGTCAGGAGGAGGAAACGTGGGACCAAACGCTGGAGGGGACGGAGTGTGAACAGGAGGAGAGGAGGGAAGACCAAGGGCCCGAAGGCCACTCACGGGTGGGAACAACTGCCGCTCCAGAGGGAGCTGCTGTGGTCGCAGCTGCGGCGGCGGTGTCTGCTGCTGCTGCCGCTGCTGCTGCTGCTGCTGCTGCTGCTGCTGTTGCTGCTGCTGCTGCTCCAGCAGGTCCAACTGCCGCAACTCCTGCCGCTCCCTCTCCAACAGCACCTGCTCCTCACGCTCACGCCGACGGGCCGCCTGGAGACGTGTGTCATGGCGGTGGGGAGGCGGAGTGGACTCCGCAGAACCAGTGTCTCCTGCTCCAGTCTCCTCAGAACCATCACCTCCAGTGCCAGCGCCTCCAGCACCAGCACCCCCAGAACCAGCACCTCCTGTGCCAGCACCTCCAGCTCCAGCACCCCCAGAACTAGTACCGCCAGTGCCAGGACTTCCAACTCCAGCACCCCCAGAACTAGCACCTCCAGTGCCAGCACCTCCAGCTCCAGCACCCCCAGAGCTAGCGCCACCTGCGCCAGCACCTCCAGCTCCAGCACCCCCAGGACTAGCACCTCCAGTGCCAGGACCTCCAGCTCCAGCACCCCCAGGGCTAGCGCCACCTGCGCCAGCACCTCGAACTCCAGCACCCCCCAAACGAGCACCCCCGGACCGAGTACCGCCAGTGGCTGCACCTCCAGCTCCAAAACCAACCGAGTCCTCAGTAGCCTGTCGCGGAAGTACCGAAGGCTGCTGAGGGGACTGTGAGGAGGACTGCGGGGAGGGAGACGCTACCTGACGCGCGACCGAGGGTTGAGGGGTAGCATGAGACACACCTGACGGGGCAGGACCAGGGGGGGTTGGGGGTACCGGAGGAGCGGGAGCAGGGGGAAGAGAGGGTGCGAGGAAAAGGGGGGGAAGGGGAACCGGGAGACCTCGACAGGGGTACCTGGTGTAGTAGGACACTGACTTGTCGAACCGGACGTCACGGGAGTCTAGGAACTGGTGGAGGGGCGGGTGGTAAAAGGACCAGTCGGCCGAGGCTACCGGGAAACCAAGGAAGACACGGGGGACGGCGCGAGCCGAGAGCTTGTCCGCAGAGGTGTCGCGGACAAGCGCAAGGCAGCCCCAGACACGAAAAGCTGACCCAACACCAGGGGACACGGTCCAAAGACTGGTCGGTGAAGCCTCTGGCCGCGAGACGCGCGGCTGGAGGTTCAGCTGGTGAGCGGCATAGCGAACCGCGTAGGGCCACAGAAAATGGGGCGCACGGGCATGAATCATGGACGTGCGGGCGATGTCCATGACCAAGCCAATGCGGCGCTCAGCAACCCCATTCTGCTGTGGGGACTCCGGCAGCGTCCAGGACTGTACAATGCCCTGCTCGCCGCAGAATCCGGCAAGAATGCCTGAGCGAAACTCACCCCCACGGTCAGAGTGGAGACAGGAGACACGACGGCCACGAGTGCCCTCAGTGGCTAGAAGCCACCGGATCAGCGTAGAAGTCACCTCGGACTTCTTCGCGAGAGGAAACACCGTGGCGTACCTGGAGAAGTCGTCGACGACCACCAAAAAGTAGCGCTCCCTCTCAAGTCCCTGCGTAGGTGCAGGGCCCCAGACATCCAAGTGGAGTGTCTGGAAGGGAGCAGTGACCGGACGAAGGGAGGAGGAGTGCGGAGTGGCACGAAGACGGCCGGCGACGCAAGGAGTGCACGGCGGCGCAGGCGAGGGAGGGAGCGACGGGAAGACGCGAGGGAGACCTGGGACAAGACGGTGACTAGCCATAGTGCGGAGGCGGGGGATCGACGCGTGGCCAAGACGGTGGTGCCACAAGACGGTCCGGTGGGTGAAAGACCGGCACGAGCAAGACGCAGCAACTAGACCGGACACAGCAACCTGACCGGACACAGCAACCTGACCGGACACAGCAACCGGTGGGGACGCAGTAACCTGACCGGACTCTGCTATCGTGGGGGACGAAGCAACCTGACCAGACGCAGCTACCTGCGGGGGCGGAGTGTGCAGGGCGAAGAGACCTGAGTGGGGCTCTCTGGTGAACGTGGCAAGAACTGCCCCGGTAGAAGAGTCCGTACAGATCGCAGTCCTCCCGTGCGCAGGAAAAGTGACTGTGATCCCCCGGTCCTGAAGGTATCCAACACCCACCAAGTTCCGAGAGAACGAGGGGATGTAGAGACCAGTGAGGAAACCAGAGGGGACAGCTGGGCACGGGA